TGTGACTGTGTGTGTGACTGTGTGTGTGACTGTGTGTGTGTGACTGTGTGTGAGACTGTGTGTGACTGTGTGTGTGTGACTGTGTGTGAGACTGTGTGTGACTGTGTGTGTGACTGTGTGTGAGACTGTGTGTGACTGTGTGTGTGACTGTGTGTGTGCAGCCACATGTGATTATGTGAAGACAGTATCTGCCTCACTGCTCATCTCTTTTTCCTCCCACATATATAGACTCTCACATCACTTGGACACACGTGGAAGCACATGCAGTGTGCAGACTATCTAAATACATATTATATATAAAGATATATATGTACAGTATATATATATATGCAGAAGCAGACACACTCATGTACACACACGTGGTGTGAAGCAGGCCGTGTGTTGTACTTTCAGACCTCTCCCTGCCGTGAGGAATAATTACATCGCTCACTGACTCCTCAGTCTCTTCTCTGCCTTCCTCTCATCCTCATCTTCTTCCTCTCTCATACGCACACACACACACACACACACACACACACACACACACACACACACACCTGAGCTTTCTTCTCCAGTCCTGTTTCTCTCTCTCTCAGCTCTCTGAAGTCCTAAATCGATCTGAGCTTGTCATCATAACTCTGCCGCTCTGACAGATGATGTGCATATCTGTTTGTTTGTTGATGCTGATGATCAGTTGATTAAAACATGTATACAACATAAAATGAATCAGCAGCACCTCTGATGATGGACTAATCCATTAAGTCTTCTATCAAGCAGAAATTGTTTCTTTGTGAAGATTTCGCTGTAAAATGAATATTTTGGGCTTTTGGACTGTTTGAAGACTTTTAAACATTTAATGGATTCATTGAGAAAATAATCATCAGATTAATCACTGAAACGAATTGTTCACTGCAGCCAAAGTATTTATATTAGAATGTTTTAATGCTCTGCTATTCACTCATTCTGTTGAAGGATGAAGATTCGGTTTATTATTTTCAAATGTTATTTATCAAGAATATTCTATTTCCATATCTGTTCTGTGTTTGAAGTGGAAACAAAACACCCGACTGAAAGAGAGAAGAAGTGAAGCCAACGTGGAACTTTAGCCGGGCCGACTAAGAATACGCTTTCAGCTTCAATTTCACACTTGGTAGAGTTCTGGACTTTCTCACCTGAAAATCCGAACGCATCCCCGGAGGGTGCTGCAACCTCCACCCTGAAGCTCTTCAGGTCAAGCCGTCGTTTCTGTTCTAGATCTGTGAAGAACTTTGTGCTGCGGTAAACGATTGAACCATAAACACATCGGTGACCTTATGAATCTGTGATGAGCTGCATGTGACTTTGTTAATGTGGTCGAAACATTACGGAAACTCGTGTCAAAAAAGATTTTCACATTTTCCGATTGCCAAATGGTGTTCCAACCAAAAACATCCAGATTTGTGTTCAGCCCAGAGAGAAGAGGACGCCCTCCTCCTGTCTGGGGTCACTTCTGCTCAAAGCAAACGCCGGCTGACCAGAAGAAGAAGCAGATATTTTCCAACACAGTTGCTCATCTTTTGTCTCAATGATGCACCTGAAGAGCTTCGTGTCCCTTCGAGTCTTCAAAGTGACACCTAACTCTGTCTGTGATGCAGAAAATGAGTCTGACCTTTTCTTCCAGAACAAATGAGGCCTGAAATAACTCCCTCCTCCTCCTCCTCCCTGTGTCTGTGCACCATGAGTCCAGTAATCGCACCGTTCCTGCGTATAAAGAGGCGGTGCATGACACGTGGAAGGTCCATCTACCGTTCTGCTGCAGTCAGGAAGTGTGTGGACGCATTTGTGCAGAAGGGACAAAGACTCGGCGTGAGCAGCGGGAGATTATTGACACCGACACCAGCGGGACGACAGCTTCTCGTGTTAGAACCCACACCTGAGTGTAACCCGCGACATGTGTTCCTCACCAACTCTCAATCCAAACAGCCTTTTGTAATCCTGTGAAACACCTCGGCTGCATCCATCTACCTCTGCTGTGATGAGCGAGACGAGTGTGTTGGACAGAAAAGTGCACACTTGTCTCATCTGCTGCTCCTGGAGGGAGCTGAGGAGACACAACTATGACCGAGGGGTCAAACCCACCAGGTTACTAGCCCTGTGACAGAACTGTGGATTATTAAACAAGTGTTTCTGCATCTTTAATGCTGTAGATTACATACAAAGTCACTGCAGAGACACGAATGAATTGAATGAACAGGAATGATCCATGGATACAGAAGTTTGCCTTTGAGCAGCTCAGCAGTGAACTCACGTTAACGGATGGCAGTAAATGATGAACTCTAATAATCGATGAATGGTTATGAGTATCTGCTGGTTTGAGTTGCTGCTTCTCTCTTTCACATCTCTGCATATTAAATCACTGGGTTTTGGAGCGTACCATTGAGCCACTTGGAGTTGTACTGGGCGGTCCGGAGCGGCGGCATGCCCCCCAGGCTGCGGTAGATGACGGGGTCGCGGCCGGAGAAGTCGATGACGGTGGCGGCGTACAGCTCGCCGCTCTCCGTCACCACCGCCGTGGAGTTGTGGCGAGGGTCGTACGGGCAGCGCGCCACGCCGTTCACCCGCTCCATCACAAAGCTCATGTTGCCTACCTGAGACGGGGGAGAAAAGGGAGGAAGGGTGACGTCTAGAGCGGGTTGTTCTCTAAATAAGTACTCACAGATACTCTTACCTCTCGGGTCGTACACAGCGGCTGGAAAGCGTTGGTTCCACAGGTCATGACCTCCGTCTTGTTCACCAGCAGAACCCGGATGTAGTTCTGACATTCAATCTGCACAGAAAGAAGAACATGGATGTGAATATTCTCTGGTTGTCTGCAGCAGTAAGACTCCAGCTCTAAAGCTCGTCTGTGACATCCACAGAGTTACAGTAGAAAAAAGAGAAAAGAGCCGAATGTGTTTCTACAAAGGAATGAAATAGATTTATGTGTGATGGAACCGGTTATGTCGGGGGGTTATTGTGCTTTGTGTTGTGTTGCAAAGAAAAGGAGGTAACAGCAGCGAAGCAGGTCTTCAAAGAGGATTGGTTACTGAGTGCATTATGACATCACCCTCTGCATTATATCTATGTATCTAGATATAATGCAGTATATATATATATGTACGTATATATATATATATATATGTATATATGCATACATATATATATACACATATATACATAGATCCTCTTTGTAGGCACGAGGGAGATCAAATAAATATAAAGGAAATAAAGACAGCTGATCAGACAGATTTAAAGAGGAAGTCGCTCTCTCTCTCACTCTCTCACTCTCTCTCTCTCTCTCTCACTCTCTCACTCTCTCTGTCTCTCTCACTCTCTCTGTCTCTCTCACTCTCTCTGTCTCTCTCTCTCTCTCTCTCTCTCTGTCTCTCTCACTCTCTCTCTCTCTCTCTGTGTCTCTCTTGATTGACAGGTGAGGAATAGCTCCTCCTCCCCTGGTATCCCGGTGCCCCCCCCCCCCCCGGTGATGGAGGTTACCTGTGTCTTTCCTTTGCTCTGACACGACCGCCTGGTCTCCTCGTCCGGGGCCCATTCTGTCGCCTAGGACACAAAAACAAGAATAAGAAAGAGGGATGACAAAGAGGTTTAGAGTCGTCTGAGTCCTTCAGTTACGCAACAGCTGACTGTTGCTCATACCGTAGGAACGCTGCTGTTTGTTTATCGTGTAAACGTGGCGACCAACAGCCTATCGGAGGGCGCCGTGCAGCCAACGAGGCGCCATTAGCATGTTAATGACTTCCATCTTCTTCCTCTTTCTCCCTCGCTCGCTCACAAAAGTTTGC